ACTTCGCCCTTTCCTGCTGCCCCACCAGTTTCTGAGAAGTCTGTGACACAGGCACAAGGGACCATTATGTGTGTGTGTTTTTTAGATATACAGTATATGGATAGTGCCTAGAGGACAATTTTAAAAAACACATGTGCAATAAAATTACAAGTAAAAAACAAACATTCTTAGAGGTCAAAGTTCAATATAATGCTTACGGCAACAGAGCCTCTTGAACGTTCCCAACCATTTGTTTTCCAGCCATGACGATAAGCAGCTGTGTGGTTAGCTCAATCAGACAGCCCCCAGGGGCACACTAAATATAAAATGCATATTGTCATGTTAGAGCTACTTATTCTGATATTCAGCTGAAAGAACATTAGGTTCTCATAAATACTAATATTTCAGACAGTCTCACCTCTTCATTTCTCAGCTTGCTCCACTTTCCAAACATATAAGTGTAGTTTCCCGGATAACCCACAAACTTCCCTTTAAAGAAGGCCACATAGAAACAGGAAGAGTAGTAGTTCACAAACTGGAACATAAACATCTTCATGGTCAGCTTATTCTCATACTCCAGATGGGTCTTGGGGATCTCTGAGAGTTAAAAAGAGGAAGATAGTAAAATATTTTCCATGCAGCTCAACAAACAGATGAGCAAATACGTGAGGTATAATGTACAGTCATTATCAGAAAACAAATACACACGGTAATTTTGTGATGACCATCTGACTTATTACATAGCTACTCAACAAATAAACAAATAAATGAATGAATAAATAAAGTGGACACATACTCATTTATTATAAACTGTATTAATTAAGCAAACTATAAAACTTGCCATTTTCCAGAGACTGAAATGCATTTAACGTGTCAAACAACTCTAATTTCTTGTGTTTTCGCTCACCCATATCAGTGATCCAAATGGCCACATGCTCATAGAGGAAGTTGAGGATGAGGATAATGACAAAGTTGATGCAGGAAGCAGTGACAGAGGTGGCAAGTTGAGGGGTGATGAGAGAGCCCACCAGCTGGATCTTACTGGTGGGGCTGTCCTTCATGACGCTGGCAAACGCTGCATAAACTGCCAATCTGTAAGCGATCACTCCCATTATACAGGCCACTATCAGACACGTCTGACAAAACACAAAGAGAGGGAAGGACTTCTTAACAGACTTATCTTTGTTTAAATGAGCTACCAAAGTGTAAGTAATTGGTAGCCAAGATAAAAGGTCAAATGTACAGTTTAAAAGAACATACTGCAAAATATGATTGACCAATCATAATCAAGTATTCCAAAGAGCTGTGTAATAGTGACTGATAACCTCTATCTATATAATACAATTGTACTGTTTATCTTACTAACTCACCCAAAAGAGAACAGTTGCTCCAGACAGACAGAATCGGGCACACTTGCTGGGGAAAGGAAGATAAGGCTCCATTTCCTGTTAGCAATAAAGAATGTGTCATCAGTTCAAGCTCCATAATTGGACAAGAGTTCAACTGTTTTGTAAATAATAATAAAATTAAAAATTAAAATTAAATAAAAATGACTAGTATAAACAACATATATGAGATGATGTACACTTCCGTTGCATTAAACAATATTTTGTCTTTGCAATCTTTCATCTAAATGTAATAAAAAGTGGTTTAAAGCTAAAACAACTCAGCATTAACAAAAAGTATATTTGGACTACTTGAAGTTATTTGACATTAAGTAGCATATCATGACTAAGACTGCATGTAGTGTTTACTTGAGAAACAAAAAACTAGAGATGCACCGATTGCACTTTTCTTGGCCGATTCCAGTTCTACTTCATCCAATGCAAAAAAAAATATTTACATAATAAAAGAAATTATTAAACATTACAATTCCCCCAATCTGGACTAAGTTACAGATGTTCTCTCACTTAAACAACTCTAAAAATAAAGTGCTCTGTGACTGGAAATAGGTAGAAATTAGTTGCTGTATAACAAAACAGAACAGATGTCATTTCCCACTATGAATAAATACTATAAATGGTCATTTTTTCCATCTTTCACATCAAATTCTTACATTGTTTCAATGAATTCAGTTAGAATAATAAGAAACTGTAGAGTTGTTACCAGATTTGAGGAACCCTGCCCTATGGTCTCATGGACTTAACGGACATGCGCACGCGGCGGCCATTGTAAGTTCGCAAGACCGCAAGTGCGCATGAAGTGTGCCATTTGGGACAGGGCCGCTGTCTTTATGAATGGGTTACTGAATCACTCGATTCATTCAAAAACGTGGATTCATTCATTAACGAAACACTGCTGTGTTTCTCGGAGACACAACAGTTCTGCTGTGGCTTTGATTGGAACGATTTTCATTTCCGAAACTGAGCAAAAAAAGTCAATATTGTGTCTAAAATGTAAGTCACTTCATTTTAACACTATTGTAAAAAATCAGTGTCGCATTGCAATTGTGTTGATATTCGGGTAAACATCTAGGTCGTGTAATGTTGCTTACCTATATCATATATAATAAATATCTTTTTTTTTTTCCTACCGTAGTATGTATCTATTTCTGTGAGTTACTTTGTGTGCTGTTGTGCTCATTTGTTTTGATTTCTGCACGAGTCTCTCTCTCACTCAGGCTGCGTGAGCCTCATCTGACACGACATAAACATATATGACCCTGGACCACAAAACCAGTCATAAGGGTAAATTTTTCGAAAATGAGATGTATACATCATCTGAAAGATTTTTGTTATGATAGGACAACATTTGGCAGAGATACAACTATTTAAAAAAAATCAAAATATTGAGAAAATCGCCTTTAAAGTTGAAGTTCTTAGCAATGCATATTACTAATCAGAAATTAAGTTTTGATATATTTACAGTAGGAAATTTACAAAATA